ATTTATCAATCTGAGACCAGGCTTATAAACACTATACATCTCAATAATATGTTCTTTGCACTGTGTAACTTTTTAAACAATGATAGATTGCTTGGGCTGGACCAAAGTTATTTTACAAACAGAAAAAGAATTTTTGCAAATGAAACAGTCCAAGAGGGAGGAAAAAAAAAAAAGAAAAAGAAAAAAAGAAAAAGAAAAAGAAACAAAGAGATGAGGCCAGATAGCAGATGTACTTAACTGTAACTGCTAAGGAATCTAACTATCTGCTATAAAATATTTTCAGGCTCCACATCCTTCAAAAAGTCTCTTGCTCATCATTTTATGCAACTGAAATTGAAGACCGCTATAGCAAAAATATTTCCTAAGTCCAACAGCACTAACAAAAAATCACACTGCCAAAGAAAAAATAGGTATTTGGGTTCCAGAAGGATTGTGAATCAATACCTGCAGTTGCCCACTTGATCACAGACTTCCTTCAAGTTGTTAATGAGTTCAAGTCTTAGTTTCCTTTCTCTTAAACTGAAATAATATTTCTGCCCTTCCGCCAAGAGCCTAATCTTTATAACATGAAGCCTTCAGGCTCATCATCTGCTCACACTGAGGACGTGGCTCATGAATTTTTTAAAGCAGGGTTCTCTTTGGCCAGAACCTGACACGAACTGGCCCCAGCTTTGACAAGGCTCTGAAGGCAGCGCTGTAATGTAAAACACTGCTGTACCATTTCCTCCTCTGCAGCTTGTCAAATTTCCTGACAGAGTCGAGCACCAGCCTCAGAGCCTGATCCACCTGCAAAGGGAGGAAGGAAGTGCTGGCTGGGCACCTGCTGTTTCTGGGGTCTTGATTGAAATAACTCGGACTGTTTCTTGGAAGTACAGAACAGAGGCTCAAGAATACAGATGAGCTCAAAGACTGTGTATAAGGAATGAGTCTGAAAGTTCAACACGCTTGATTTCCAGTCCTCTAAATTTACTGCTCCAGGCAACACAGCTCCTGTCAATTTTCAGGTGACAAATACTCTTTCAGAGACCTGGCTGTTCCTTCGCTCGCTTATTATTTAGACAATACAATATGACCTCAGTCTGAGTAGGGCTGATCCTTATAATGTAAGAGAATCGAAAAGATCAAAGCCGCGCGTGATGGTGCTGCATGAGGTTATTGTAGGGAAGCTCTGCCTCGGGGATTAGTCAGAGATTCCATTTCAAACAGCAATCACGATTGAGCCAGCACACATATGCAAAGCATGATTTTAAAAAGTAAAAGTAAAAAAGGAATGCGTTATTACACTTCAGTGTTGTTCCACTTACTCATGTTAATAAAGTTATTTCAGGCTCCTTTTAAAAATACCGCACATTAAAGAAGCTGAGCACTGCAACCACAGCTCCCAGTGGAACAAACACCGACTTGGTGCTGCTTCAGGGCCCTCTGGCACTGATCGGGGGAAGCTCTTTAATGGAAAGGAATAAAAGAAATAAGTTCAGGCTTAAAAATGAGACATCAAAAGGGGGTTTAGCAGGAGACAGAAACAGCTGCTTTTACATCTTATGATAGCTCACGCTATATTAATGCCCTTTTGAGTGCACAAAAGAAGAGACTGTACCATTTCCAAAGTGAGAATCATGGCTGTTTCAAAAGTCTGGAAAGACATCAACAGCGTTCACTTTCAAGCTGTTTCTTTTCCTTTCCCATTTTCCCTCCAGTAACTTAAAGGGTGCTTCCTTTCCACTTGGCTCATTTCCACTCTCCCTGTCCAGGATTTCATATCACCTAGGTATCTCAGTGCCTCAGGCCCATAGTATTTCATCCTATTTATACACCTAACTCAGCAATTTACTGTGCCTAGGCAGAGTGCTGCACCCACATAGACTCCCAGGCCCTCAGGAGCCCTTTCTGCCCATATAAACAGCCTCTCTGCCAGAGCACAAGGACAGCTTTCCACTGAGTAAGGCTAAGAGAACCATCTATCCCTGCATCTCTCCTACCCCACTGCCCTTCCAGAGGCATTCGTTACACTCCAGCAAGCTTCTGGTGCACCAGGAATCACATCAAACAAATAAATCCCTATCTGGAAAACTGCACCATCTAAAAAATGACCCAGCAGATGTTTGCATCTTCCTGCGCATTTTATGACAAAAATCGAAGGCTCTGGTCCTTCTTTCTCTCTCCACAACACAAGAATGCAGAGGCAGCCCACGACTTACCCAGGAGAAAGGAGCATTTCTGCATTCCCACTCATGTAAGGGCGCTGCTGCCCCCAGAACCCTCTCAGCACATTTCCCTGCATGTTTGCAGCAGGAGGGGAAGGCTCAGGCTGATCGCCCAAGCTCCTGCTGTCTGTTACTCTAAAGCTGCCGCACACCTGTAAACAGGCAACTGTGACTGATTCTCTGACAAACATTTACCTTGGCATGCACAGTGCAGAAGGAATCCTCGCATTTGCCTCCGTCGCTGTAAGCAATTTGCATCCCTAACACTGACAAATATTACAAATTGCACACCTGGAGCTGTTACAAGCCCCAAGCGGCTCAAGGCTGCACTTCTTCTTCCATTTCAAAAACACCTGGAGTATCACTACAGCACTGTGTGTGATCTTTAACATAAGGAACGTTACAAGAGTGAGAGGAAAGACAGTATCTTAGCTCAAAATAAATTATAAAAATGCCTGTGACACTGAATGTGATCAGTGGCTCACACGATGCCTGTATGCAACTGGTTTTGGCTTGCTTGGGGTTTTTTGCCATTCACAGGTGGCAAATGGATGAAAAATATCCCCTCTGTTTCATTTTGCTTTTTTGGGTAAAGGGAGTCCTGCATCCCCATTTCCAAAGGGTGCAGAGGGCTTTCCTAGCACAGCAGGCAAAGAGCCACTCGCCCTGTCCCCACCTGCCAATTACTAAACAGGGTGTACAATCCCAGCCTTCTCTGTTGTTTATTTGTCCTGCTGCCCGGAGGTTGTGATCTCAGGCACCCTGCTACAAGTACTGTGCTCTTGCCTTTATCTTTGTCTCCAAGTGCAACCCAACAAGCAAAGTAATGCAGACAAGCCCTAACAGCTTTGTGACAGCAAAAAGGAACTGATTTTCCAGAGCTGCCTGGGAAGAAATCAAATAACGTAGACAAAGCCAGCCCTGCTTTGACTATGGGAGTGGGACAGCAATGCCTTTCTGTCCTAAGCAGCAGAGGGCAACATGATCAAAAATATGCACTCCTCTAACTCAAACCACACAAAACAGAACCGCAACACAAACCAAACTAGCTCTAACAAAAATCACAATCACTTCAGTCAGTCGTTGTACAGCTGGCAGGATGGCAGAGACACACACCTGTATGAGAAGTCCCAAGAAGTGGTAAGCATGTGCATGTTTAAGAACGTTGTACAGTACTGATGGTAACCATATGAAAATTCTTAACTTTTATTGCATCCAGCAAATGCTTTTGAACCCATCACCAAGACTGACTCCCAAGCCACCTCCCAGAATTTCCTGAAGCAGACACGAAGCAGAATTGTTTAACTCATTTCATTGAGTTTCACGTTTCTTTTTAAATCAGTCTGCCATAAAAGCGACTTTTTTAAAGCACAAAAATCTACAGGTCTGCCTCCCTTAACCTTATAAAGCACACAGATTCCTGGCAGCTAAACCCAGATCTGCTATGAGATCCTCTAACCTGATTCCCTGGGTGTCGCAGGATGGGAAGTATCAGCCAGCTGCTTGACATGGAGCCAAATGACTTGGGTTTCACTAAAGCAAAGCTTCCAAAAAGGTGTTCTGTCTGAATGGAAGACTAACGATGAGGCATCTGATGTTTACATAGGTATTTGCTCTAATGATTAGTCAACCTTGTTAAATATTAATGTTATTTCTACCTGCATTTGTCTGGCTTCAGCTCCCAGTCATAAATGCCTTGGTATACACATCCTTATCACACTGAAGAGCCTGTTAACACCTAGGACCCCTCAAATACACTGAGACAACAGAAATCTGTCAGCCTTTCTGCCACCCTCATGTTTAACATCTTTTTTATATATATAATTATTTTTAGGTCTCTCAGAAAAATACTGAAAGGCACCAGGCTGAGCTGAGTCTTGAAGAAGTCACCTAAAGCCCTTCAGCATGCTCCCCACTGATGGCTGTGTGTTGTTTTTTTTCTTTACACATCTCAGATGTACAACTTCATATGATCACACAGTGCTGGAGATCCTTTTAAACAGAGTTATTTGGTACCCAGTCACGTGTCTCATTTAAAAAAAAAAAACAAACAACTAAGGAAATGACATCTATCTGATCATTTTTAAACAAGTAAATAATAATTTTTTTCCCCTCAACCCAATTTGATTTGGCAAGATGTTTTCTTTAATTGCAGAGGTTAATATTGTTCTCCTATTGGCCACTTCCACCAAGGTGTATCTGTCAAAGCAGCCTCGCCAAGTCAAGCTGTCCATAACAGGAGAGCTTTTCTTTTCACATTTTGCAGACAGGTGCTGTGAAAGATCTCATCTGTGGTTTGAAATAGACTCCCACCAATACTTCATATTAGGCTTAATTGGATGGGATGCTGTTCTGCACGCATTCAAGCTCCTGCAACATGGGGACATCTAAAGCAAGAAGAACTAAGTATTGGATTAATATTTAAACATAGCAAAACTGCCAAATATTGCAGCAGAGAAGTTTCTCAGGCAAAATCTCCCTGACAGGATAGCAACAACTTTCACTGAAAGAAGCCACTGATAGTTACTTGTATCCTGAGGGGGAGATCGGAGCCCTGGAGAGCTGCTTAGTTTTCTGCTCTCCATGCACATGAAAGCAGAACACATAATAAGGTCACGACAGGCCAAAAATAGCAAATCTTCAAGAAGCTGCAATTCAAACGGATATCAGATCTGCTGGAAAGTAAGCAATTTGACCAGCATGCAGAATTTCTGAGGATCGCTATTTTTACAGCATTTTGTATTTTACAAATAACCTTCAAAAATTTAAGAAAAAAAAAAAAAAAAAGGTACATACTTTTCAGGGTTTTCCACTTCTTCAGTAACAAAATTGAGGTAAAACCTAGGAAAGAGTCATAAATATATCATGAGGCCTCGGTAGATTTTAATTCTCTATTTATCTCACAGAGATTCAAGAAGATGCATTTAGTTAAGCAGTGCTGTTAATTCCAGCAGGCTCCTCACGCTCAGAAAGGGAATTCTCAGAAACAACAGCAAAGCAGAAAAAAGAAAAAAAAAAAAGACAAGGGCTATGTCATGTCACTGAGGGATAAAATCACATCTTTTCCCCTGGCACAGGCCAACTATGCTCTCCTTAATGCTACACAGACAGACCCGAAGATATGCACCCTCAAGTCTTTTGCCATGTCGTGATCCAGCATGAAATTCCACACAACCAGTTTTGCCATCTCATCCATCCTCTTCAGCATTAGCTTCTAGACTTGCTACTGTGTGCAGCACAAAACAAGGAGTCAGGATATTTCCAAAGAGAGATGGCTTCTGGCTAACAGGATCCCCAGGACATTTTTTCTTTGTCTGAGTGCTGCTACCAGGTTGAAGTAATTTGGTGGTGCTGCATTAGTCATTTTATTAATGCAAAGGCATGTTTCCTTGCATTCTTTTCTCTATTTGTCCTTTTTCTCCCAGCATTTTATACCCAGTAGTCTATACTTGCTCTTGGCAGGATGAGCTCACATACATAAGCAATACCACCTTTGTTTTGTACTTTAAAGCTGTATCATTAAAAGATAATAGTGTCACAGGCTATGCATAAATTTCTGCCTCCATCCTGGGACACATCACCAGCACTCGCAGCACTCCTTCACATCCAGCTTATTGGATTGATTTAGCCCCATGAAACTGATAGTGCAAGGGTATTGACACTCCACTTAATGGTCTGCTCTTCTGTGCTCTGAGGCAATCAATTTGAGCTGGTGACAAAGACAAATAGGCAGCTTAGGAGAAGCACTAGCCAAACGAGATCTTTTCCTGCTAATTTCTTCTATAAGTGGCAAATCAGGACCATGAAATAAAAGTCAGAATGTGTAAGGGAAAAACAGAGATGATTTTCATTTCAGGAAGTTTGGAACGTCGTGTGGAAAAAGGAAAGAAATAGGAAAGAAACAACAGCAGAATAGCAATCTTCTTGATGTAAGATTTCACAGTAAACCAACTCTGCTTCGGCAATGAATAATATTAAAGACCTTTTAAAGTTGCCACCACAGAAATGTGTACACCAAGGGCAATATTTTAAAAGTGAGAAACCATCATGTGTATGGATGTATGAGACAGAGGTGGCTGTATCAGAGAAGGAAGGGGGAAGAGACTGTCCCTATAATGAGTTCAATTTCTTCGAGCCTTCAAAATGCCAGGCTCTTTTCTTACATATCTATCACAGATAAAGGCTGTGGACTCGCTCAGGTTACCCCCCCACCACCCACCCACCATTTAATATAAAAGTGCTGTTCAGTGCTTTAGTGAGCATGCTTATACTGCTCTTGCAACGGGGGAGTTACAGGCCAACAGAGAACTCAGATGCTGGTCCCATTGTCCCTCTGAATGAAATAAATACATTCCTTATCATTCGTTCCCCAGCTTTTGTACAAGGGAAAGAACTTCACTGCCTGTGAGGCTATGGAAGGGAAAAGGAAGACCTCCAGACAAAGCTATCTCAAAAATAAGCCCACGCTCTGCAGTCTTTTTGTTGTATATTGTAGTCTTTTTTTTTCATGCCACTGCTGCAAAGCACATCAGCACTGTGCAGAGTGGAGCCCTCGCTAAGCACAAACAAATCGTAAGGTAGATTTGAAGTGTAGAAGGTTTTTTCAAACCAGCCACTATGTACTTTGGTGGGGAGAACTTAAAAGAAAGTTCTGAGCCAGATACTTGAAGGCAGATTCTCATTACTTTGCTCACAGTGAATAGCACTTAACTTTTGTGGAAGCCAGTTGCACTTCTTGTTAAGTGACGTCCAATACTGCCAGAGCAAAAGCCACAGGAATCAGTGTTCTCATCTTGTTTTGTGGTCTTCACTGGCCTTATCAGAGTTTGCTTCTGATTCTAAAGTGCTGCTTTTACAAAGCAAAGGCTGAGGTCCACACAAGTGGGATGGAGATCTACAACTTTACATCAGTTGAGAGAGATCTTTTTCGTGTGATCGTTGTCTTCTTCAACAAAATCTAATGCATGATTATTCCTTTTAGAATTCTATTAAAATACTTAGAATTTTAAAATGTTCATTTCTTGTTGCTTTTACTTCTAGCCTTGAGAACAGAAATATGCCTGATTTTTTTTTTTAGCGTTCACTGAGTGCTTACATATTGCATATCGAAGAAGAATAATCTTTCCTTCTCAGAGCTGCCAGAGAGAAGCTACCAAGCATATGGGACAGCAGCAAGAGCTATCCTTACTACACAATACTGTTTGGCAAAAGAGGCAGAATGTGCGACTCAATCTGTTGTATAAATAAATGCCTTTGTTAGTTCATATTAGTGTTTGCTTTGAGGACAAACGCTTATAGGTTTCAAAGACTTACCAGCCCGAATAGGCGTACATTCCTGAATAGAAAGCAAGTGGTAATCCCATAATACTGGCATCATTCCCTGAAAAGGCATTTTTAAAGTGCTGTGTTTCTCCTGCAACATCAAAAAATAAAAAATAAAATTGAAAAACAAGCTCTTTGGACACCTCCTACTTTAAAACAAATAAATATATCATACCATGGAACATTTAATCACCCAGTAGTTCACTGACTTCAAGTTCTGCCCTTGACCTTAATTTCTGACCCAAACCTCACAGCCAAATTCTGCCAGCAACTGTAAAAAGTTCTTGTGGTGTCCTTAGCCATGTCACAGCAGAATCTGACCTGTTAGTTTATGTAAAGCATTCTGAGTTTGATGACACTCACCACACTGTTGTCTCCAGCAGTGACATATCAACACTAAAGAGCAAAATGAGCTCTGGGGTTTTTGCTATAAACATTTCCCTTGTTCGTTAACATTTTCTTCAAATGGAGCATTAATAGCACTTCACTTATAAGAAACATTTGTAAAGTAAACAAACCCAGTATCTTAAGTCTTCCTGTGACTGAAGTTCTCAGTACTTAGTAAGTTTCTCTTCTGCATTATAGGCAGCACTGTAGCTTATGTTATAGCAAGAATCATGCTTCTCTAAATGCAAATGTTTAGACATTTTGAGAAAAGTGCAAGGCAGATAGCAGAAAAGGTGCAGGAATAGCTGAGTGCCAAAGATCAGTACCAAACGAGTATGCGAAAACCAAAGTCTCTGTCCAAAAACATTATATATACCATGAGACTGAACATTCAGTAAAGATCTTTCCAATCCTTCGACAACAGAGGAAGGTGCTGACAAAGCCAGTAGCCTTCCTGCTGGTGTAAATGCACCGCCTCTAAGGAACACCAGACATTCATCTTTCCTTGTGGATGGGTATCTGCAGCTGAACAATGCAATGGGGAGGAGGACCAATGCAGGAACAAAGCCTGCCTGGAAATAGTCCTCCAAAAACTGTAACAAACAAGTGGGAATTCTAAGATCACATTATGAGCTTTAAGGAGAATTCACTGAGATTTAAATGAGCAATGGTCAAACCCTTTCCTCTCCTCTTTACTGAGCCCTCAGGCAGAACTTCCACTGGCGTGTGGAAGTTTTCCTTTAGAAAAAGGAATTGGAAATGCTCTCTGAGGGATAAAGCCCGTCCAAACCTGGGTCTGGCCTGTTCCAAAGGCAAAGGGGCAGATAGAAACATAGAGAAAACATGTGCACATGAAAGGAGGTAAGGGAAGGCATGGTGATGGCCAGAAAGCAAGTGAAAAACATGCAAACAGAAATAGTGAACTAGCAGAACACTGCACAGGATCACCTTTATTTCAGAGACTATAGCTAAGGGCAGTGAGCCGCCTGTCCCTGCCATGCACTGAGCTCATGGCCAGAGCTGTGCAGCTGCCTCACGTGGGAAGGAGTCTTGTGGGGCACCAGAGTGGCCCCAGGAGCTGGGCCAACCACTGCCATCATTTTTGCTAGATAAAGTCTGCCACCAATTCATTAAATGTGTCCTCCTTTCTGACTCACTGTGGTGAATGGCTCCTGGTGCTTTGTATAATTATTATCTAGCTTTATTGTAATCAGAGAGTTGTGGCTTGTCCCCATCTCACTCCCTGCCATCAGGGCTCTACTGTAAGAGTCTCCACTCAGGTGGCTCTATGGGACCAGCAGAGCCTCACTGCCACATGGCCTTACCCAAATGTCAGGAGGAAAATGCTGCATACCGTGTCCATGCAGGATATTTTCACACTCCTTGCTCAGGTAGCAATGATCTGCCCTGTTTTCCTTTCTTACTCTTGGATAGGCCCAGACCATCGGTCTTTAGGTTGGACATAAGGAAAAACTTCTCAGAAAGAGCAATCGGGCACTGGAATGAGCTGCTCCACAGCGGTGGAGTCACTGTCCCTGCAGGTGTTCAAAAAACGTGGAGATGTGGCACTGAGGGACATGGTTAGTGGGCATGGATGTGTTGGGTTGATGGTTGGATTAGATGCTCTTAAAGGTCTTTTCCAACTTTATCAATTCTGTGATTCTGGTCTATGATATAGCTGCACGCTTTTGTTTTTCCATTGTGAGAAGTAAGGCACGCATGCAGCTGAGCATGCTGGAGAGCTGCAGGCAGGGACTGACTCTGTGAGAACAGCAGCTAGCTATCTTGTCTTCCAAGACAGTATCTCTACATCATTCATTTCTCTCTGATAATGAATCATCACAGCCATTCCTACTTATTGGTTCGAGATTAGCACCCACAATAACAGCCTCCGCAATAATGTTTCTTTCATACAACCCCAAATCTGAGCCCCTGTGACCACCACACCCCTGTGCTGAAGAGAAGCAGGCACCAGCACAGTTCCCAAAGTTCACACAGAATGCAATTTACAGAGAAGGGCAATCCTGTCACTGGCTTGGAAACCAACTCTATCTGAATAGTCTCATTGGCATGCAGAAGGAAATACCAGTTCATCCCAGTGTAGTTCCACCTCTAATCAATTACATGACAGTACAGAGCTCCAGTTGAACAAGCAGAGACTAATTAAGAGATTTTGCTGCTATAAGCATTATTTGGTGGAGGCAGGTGGGGGGAGACTGGGGAGGGTAAAGATAAAAGCACTTTAAAAGCATTTACTTTTCATTTCATACCTTTAATTAGCTGGATAACTCCGGGGACTATAATTATCAGAATTGCTACAAGCTTGCAAAAGGTAAGGAAAATCTGAATGCGGGCACTCCAGCTGACACTTGTGCTATTCAGGACCATCACTAGCGCTGCAAGAAGGAAAACAAAAGTCAGAAAGAAATATTCATTCTGCTGAAATCACCACAAAACTCTCTGAGGCTGCACAAATAGCAGACTCTGCAGTGCCGAAAGAAATAATGCCCTGATAGTCTTCCCTATCTGCTGCCCTCCCACCCCTCTCACGTTTCCCTTACAGTTCCCGTACTACTAAACGCTTAAGCTGAGCCCTTGTAGGACCCTTCCATTTCTCTGTTCTCCACTTAGCTCATTTTGCACCAAATTAAAGCTTCGTTTACCCAGGACTGTTAGCTGTTGGTAGGTGATGGGCTGACAGAAGCTGCCTCAGATGAAAAAAAAATAATTGCACAAGCCCTGTCACTCCAGATTTCTGTACCAGTGCCAGTTTGATTAGAGATTTGCATTTTCAGAAAACAGTAACAATTAATAATGACATTAAACTTTCTCACCCCCATTTAGGCCCCGCATGAATTTGTCACTCACTGCCTTGTTTACACCTCCTCCTTTCTCTTGCTATTTCCCCTCCTGCGCAGCGATTCCGTGGTGACACAGGAGGGACAGAGTGCAAGCGGCATTCCTGCCCATACTGCAACTGGTGAGGAAACCAAAACTCAGGTTGACACCTTGCCAAGCCAAGGAGCCCAGGGGTGAGGAGCTTCCCTGCCCTGCCTGCCCAACACACATCCCACTGGGCCCCTGCTGGAACTCTGATGGGAGTTCCTACGGCTCAAGTGCCACTCATTCCAGTTTACATAAACAATTACCCTGGCAAAACAGAATCAATAAAGTAGCTCGCCTAAAAAAAATATTTACTAACTGAATGGAAATTGTGAGTCATTTCACTAGATAAAAATTCCTTTTTCCCTTCTGCCACAGGGAAAGGTGAGTGTGGCACAACAAGCCTGCCCATTGATCATCTCGCTCCTTCCATCGTGTGGAACTAATGAATTAGTCCTTCATCACAGCTTTTCCTTCTCTCCAGCCCTCCCAAGAGCGCTGCTCTATCTGCCTCATCAGCCACATAGCACACCACAGGATGCATAGAATCGCAAGGCACTGTCTCCCACCAGACCCTGCAGGTTTGTGGGAGCTGGCATCACAAACCTGGCACAGCACAGGGCTCTGGCTGCAGAAACAGCTGGGCTGTCCCACACCTTCTGTATCGATTCTGGCCAGTGGCAAGGCCAAAGTGTATTTATAAGCAATTCTCCCTTGAAATCAAAAAGATTAAAAGAAAGACAGAGAGCTGTTGGAGAGGATATAGAGGAGGGACACAAAGATGATCAGAGGGCTGGAGTACCTTCTCTATGAACACAGGCTGAGGGAGCTGGGCTCATTCAGCCTGGAAAAAGAAGGCTGCAGGGTGACCTCATTGCAGCCTTTCAGTACCTAAAGGGAGCCTACAAAAGGGAAGGGAGTCAACTCTTGGAAAGGGTAGATAACTGCAATACAAGGGGAAATGGTTTTAAGTTGACAGGGAAGATCTAGGTTGGATGTCAGGGGGAAGTTCTTCACAGAGAGAGTGGTGAGGTGCTGGAACAGGCTGCCCAGAGAGGCTGTGGATGCCCCGTCCCTGGAGGTATTCAAGGCCAGGTGGGATGGGACCCTGGGCAGCCTGGTCTGGTATTAAATGGGGAGGTTGGTGGCCCTGCGTGTGGCAGGGGGGTTGGAGATTCATGATCCTTGCTTGAGGTCCCTTCCAATCTGGGCCATTTTGTGATTCTGTGAGAAAACTACAAGCAATCCAGAAAAAAAATGTAAACAACATTTTCTGAAATTTGTATTTGGGAAAGTGCAGGTCCCACACTCAAGTGAACAATTTACCAAAATCAACCAATGTTGTTGACCAAAGTCAACACAAACTCACACTATCACTTAGTTTTAAATTTGCACCAAAAACAAACAAACAAACAAACAAAACCTTAAAGGTTACAATATTTTTCCATTCTGTATTTTACCATATTTTAGCATTTTCTGAGTCACAGCAGTAGTCACAGAAGTATCACCTGGACTTACAGTCTCATTTGAGACCCAAACACTTTTTTGGTTCATTAAATCCTTGTGTGTGTGTATTTAGAAGGAAACAGAAAATCCATGGGGCCCACCTCATTACTCTACTTTCCCAATATTACGTTGATGTAACTTCATTAACTGAAACCTTGAAAGCTCCCCTTATAATTCACTGCCGAACAGCAGTGCTTACCGAGGCTCCCTCTCTTAGGGCTCAAACACCAGGAAAATAGGGTAGAAAAGGCTAACAGGTGTCATTCAAGCTTAGTATATTAACATAGTTATTTAACCAACAGTAATTAAGCTACTAAGAAATCCCGTGCCATAAACAAGCACTGACTCTTTTCAGATTTCTTGCAGAGTTCATTACAGTGCCTTTTACTACTCCACAGGACAAGCCCAGGAAGGGACCAGGCTACGAGAAAATGTCACCTAAGAGTTCCTAATCTCAGGAAGAGATCTGTGACTTGACGTCTAGCATACTCAGAGTTCAAGACCCCTGCAGCAATCAGTCTGCTACGTGACCTGTGGCAGAACAGGTTATGTGAGCATCCTCACCCTCCTTGAGTGTCATTAATGCATCGCTTTCACCCTCCAGATATGAGAATGTCATCAGATGGCAAACTAGAATGAACATCAATTCTGATCCACTCATCACCCTGCTTGCTCGTCAGCCGCACACAAATCACAAACCACAAATCTGCCTAAGAGCCACAGTGGCTTGAAAGAAAAGCACCTAGAGCAATGTTTCTGTGAAGACAACCTCCACGTAAGCAGGCTGCTAAACTTATCCCACCCCTGCCCGCAAAGTCAAACCAGCAGAGTGCTTCAGCTGAGGCTTCTTAATGAAATGGAGAAAGCAAAATGCACACAGCAAGCATCTTCATTTGACTGGAAACGTAAAAGAAGGCTATGCTTGCAGCCAATCCAGTGCACAGCGCCATTAGCTTGGATGGTCCTCCAGAAGAGCAATTCCCTTGCAGAGTTGGGCAACTGCACAAATGAAGATGGAAATTTTATCTTGAGTCTGCAGTCATTATCAACAACACACTTCTACAAATAGGATATTGCAGGGATATTTCAAGATTGCAGGGTCTTTGATACAGGATCACAGCAAAGATCAGAAGGACACAGCAAGTCCCCAGACAAAAGGACAGTAAAAGCAGGACTCACCTCACAACTGGTTAGCTAAAAGTCAGGTGGCTGGTCTGCCAGCATCCTCCGAAAAGACATTTACCTCCACAAGATGATTAATCACCCATCTTTCAGACGCCTAGTAAAGAGAACAGTTGCCTTCAGGAAGGATGTACCCCCCCCCCCCTTCCTTCACTAATTTTAAAGGGAGCTGAGGCAACCGGCTATAACTAAATACCTAACTAAAAGTGAGATGAATCCTAATCTACGAGACTATGGAAAGAGAACAAACAGGGTTTGTGAACAATTGGTAACACTAACCATGTTGCTTTTCACAATCCTTACCCTTCACACAGCCACAGCTATAAATGGATAACAACACCTGATGGGAGAAGCAGCAGCAAGCATCCCAGCCTACTTTTCAGGAATACCATTGCCTCAGCGGGAAGCCAAGGGAGCTGCCTTCCCTTGACTTGTCAGGCTGTTAGGGTTAAGGCATTTACTCAAAGCAAAAAGCATCCTTAGGTTGTGGCTTTTAATGCACCAGTCAAAATGAAGTCACAGGTGGCACAAAAGCACCCATCGGAGCAGCTTTTGCTATTCCTACAGCCTAGTGATGTCTTAATTTAAACCACTTGTCTGAAAACTGTCAGCAGGAGAGAGCAGTGTCCACAGCATCTGCCGTGAAGGTAGAAAAAGCAGCTATTGGCTCCCATGTACATTCACAATTGATGCCAACAAAAATTCCCAGAGTATCTGCCAGCAAGCCCTGACAGATCTGTAGAGCTGACCTTGATTTCCAAGCACGATACGGCTTCTGTCTAGCAAACACGACTTGAGTAATTCGGTCTTTTTGGCAGACCTCCGAACACAAAGAGAGGAAAAATTACATATTTTACCCTAAATGTGCTTGACTGAGTTGAAAAACTTTACAGATGTAAGAGTTGGTAACCTGCTTTCAGTTTCACAGTTCTTTACCGTTGAATCCTGTTTATTTGACTTCTGATATTTAGACCAAATGGAAAGATTAGAACTGGCTCAGTTAACGCTGCGTGCCAGTCAGGCTATACATCAACAACACAGTTCAATATGTTCACACAGCATAACCTCTTGCTCACTATTACAAATAAGCTTAACTTTACGAAAAGAGTTAAAAGATACAAATAAAGCAAAATTTCAATGTAGATTTCTATTTTTCTTTTGCACTGCCTGTCTCCATGCTTTGTAAATGTCTTCTTCGTTGGGAAAAGCAATAAACATGAAGAAGAGTTTTTGTTTAAATAAGTAAGAAAGAAAAAAAGTACCCACGACAAAAGCACCATAGCCTGGAACAGAAAATTTGCATCTACAGCTCAGGACAGGTGTGATTTTAGGGTGAACTTTATGCCCAGCACATCTTTGCTCCTCTAAATAACCAATAAAGACGAAAATATTTTTAAAAGTCACCATCTCCCATGGTTCCATTTTAGTTTTCATATGATCTCCATCTTCTCTGCAGCATCCTTTTTCCTTTTGCATCACAGAGACAAGGAAGTGGAACAGTGGTAGAGGAGTGAGCTATGGCCATTCTGCAAGCTGTGCTTTTCTGCAGCTTGTTGAGAGTCAGCAGTGTCTGCCACTGCCATCTTAATCCTGCCTGCATCCATCTCAGGCAACCTTTGCATTGCAGTTCAAAAGGAACTCTCATGAATATCAGTCTTGGCCATGCGCAATGTTGGTATGCAGTATTTCACTGCTCCCCCCTTATCTCCCTTCACAAACCTGTCCTGCTGACCATAAAGAGGAAAGGAAGAAGTGCCTTCCATATTCACTCTATGTAACACAAGGAATAATAGGCTCAAATTGCAGAACAGAATGTTTAGATTAAAAAGAAAAAAATAAAAAGAATAAGAAAAACTTTCTTGTGAAAAGGACAGGAAAAACTGGGCTACAGCACTGGGTAAGGTGTAGGAACTCACCCCTGGAACTGTGAAGACCGCTGCAGACAAACATCTGTTGGGAGCTGTTTAGAGATGCACTGATCTTTTTTGGGGCAGGGGACTGCCTGGAGATTTTTCCAAATCTCTTCCTTCCCTTTGTAGTATGATCAGAAAATACAGGATAACACTACAGAGTAAAGTTTCTTTCAAGGACACAGGTTAGTGATGCTTCTTACTACCTTCCTCCCCATGCAGTAGGTATATAGTGAGCACTCTGCAGACGTAGATGGTAGAAGGGACCAAGGGTGGACAGGATGACAAAAAGCTCATAAGCTTATATTTTCATTAACTTAACAAAATCTCCGGTGGAAGTAAACACTACCTTTGCCACCGTTAAATTGGATTATAAGATCTTCAGGGCTCCAATGTGTCTGTGCAGCTCAACATCTTAATCTCACCTATCACTCTGCCTACCAGCACAACACAGAACATTCATCACAGTCACCACACCAGCTAATTCTCACAGCGCAAGAATAACAGCTGTATGTTCTCAGATAGCTTAGCCCAGAGTGCAGCATCGGATCAAAAAACTGCCACAAAGGAAAATCCACTAAACAGCACAGTGCGAAGAATTACAACGCAGCCTCAGTCTGACAGGCCCCTGCTTTTCTCAGCACCGTCCCAATCACAATCACAAACTTTCTACCAGAATCTCTCGCTTCAGTGAGACAGCAGCACATCCTACCTGCTCTGCACAGACCCTCGGTCACCATAGGAACAGGCTGCTGTGAACTCCCATCTCCCTTCAGGGTGTAATTATTCCAGCGTATCTCCAACCCCCCCCACCCCACAATGTTACTTCTTTGTTTAATTACTCTGTGTAGCCTCGGTTTATCACACAGATTTTCAATTAAATTAAAAGCAATAAAAATCTATTTCAAATTGTTCGCTTATTGTGCTTGAATCGCAATGCACTTAACAAAACACTTTTAATGGACTCCTCACTTAACATTCCTTCTGTCTCAGTGACCTTGAAGTTACTGAACATCTGTTTCATCCTTATCTTTCACTGAAATATTTTAGACAGATGTAGCCATAAAAAGTCATTGACCTCGAAATTCAAGCCTTAATTCAATTATTCCTATGAAACCTATAGTTTGTGCATAATTAAGTCAGAAAGAAATGCGGTCACACACTGGTTTTTTTAACACTCCTGGCAGAAGAGAGATCTTATCAAGAGAGCTCCTACAAAAAGCCCCAGTAACCTGGAGACCGAAAATTTCCATGTCAATTGAACTCACTTCCCCAAAGAAAGAAAAAGTCATCTGAACCTATTATTGTGCAAAATTAAAGTGGTCCCCTGCATGCCTTTGATCATTTTGCATGTCTTAATTCCTTTTTTCCAGCCCTTTTATTTCTGATATGTGCACTGGCCGAACTGAAAGGAACAATCTGTTACTAATTACTCCGATCTGCCCTGCACGCTCCTCCCAGCACAGCTGAGTGTGTGTGTGTGTGTGTGTGTGTGTGTGTGTGTGTGTGTGTGTGAAAGAGAGAGCATCATCCACGATCACTGCACAAAACTGGAAACAAACCTCTCCTGCTGCATGACTCTAACTCTCATTCGCACCAGGACCGTGCCTTCCATTTCACACAGCTTCACACGCTGTCCAGGCACACCAAGAAGCCCAGGGCTAGCCTCCCTCCTGCCATCAGCATGTTTTACTTCTCAGTGTCCCCAAACAACCCCTTTACACTAATTGTAAAGTTGGAAAGAGGAGAAGAAGCTACTCATAATAAATGAGCATTTCGAGCCAACCGCTCACCCTGCTCCCAGAGTCATTTGGGCTCCTGCTTCCCAAGCTGTGAGTGCCTCAGTAAGTTTTATCACTGCACAGGACAGTGAGGGACTAAGAATGATGATCTCATGTTGTCTGTGCTCCAGTCAGGAGTGTTACATCTCTTCATGGCATCATACTTGGCAAGTGCTTGCCAAGGTAGAGCAATGCACTTAAAATCAAGTAATCATTCTTCTGTATCTCTGGCACTGGCTTGTCATCTCCCAGGGACTGAAATTGCTTCCACAAAAGTAATAAGAGTCCTGCCATTAATTCAAGCGGCAACATTATCACGCTTAGCAATAGATCTTTTTCTGCCATTAATAAAATCTGCTCTTCTTTTCTGTTTTTTTGTTTTGGTTTGGTTTTTTTTACTATTACAGAAACACACACAGGCAAAAAATCACACCGATGCCCTTGGCACTGGATGCACACTCACTCTGCAACCATTGGCAGCAAACGTCTACCTTTTCAGTGTCTGATTAACTTTTTTTTTTTTTTTTTAATTTACATCATTTTTACTCTTTCTGACAACTAAAATCAGATACTTACTGATGCCAACAGCTGTAATAAGTTTAATCGCAAGTTCTGGGATTTCGCACTGCATAAAGAAAGGTTCCAAAATGTAGCGTCCAAATGCCAAAGATATCACTGCTGTGGCAGCAGGGCTAGAGCAAAAAGTAAGAATAGGAAAAAGAAATCACAAAATTGATCTGCAATAGCATGTAAACAATACTCATTTGGGATCACACTGTAGCATTATTATCACAGAACCACAAGGTGTACCCAGCTTTGGTGCCTGTTGGCAACTATGGCACCACGGGCCATGATTTCTGAGCATAACAGATAACCAGTGTGAAGCAGCCATACAAAGAAAGGAGATGCATCAGTGCAAATATCCATTCCCATGCTCGCAGTGAACATGGCCAGATTTAATTTGCATAGGCAAATTAAAAGTTTAAAAGTTGTTGAAGACTGAACTGTGGTGGTGAGATACATCTCACCCCTCATAGACAAACATATTAATTTCAGTGAGGATGAGAACTCTACTTTACTGAAATAGGAAGCACAAAATTAAACCAAGTCTGTTACTGAAGTCTGGGACTTCAGTATATAAAAGATGAACGAAAATGGCATCTCCTAAAATGCAAACACTGCTTAAAATGCATGTTAATTTTATTGACAAACAACTTTCCAGCACTGTGGCAGGGAAAATCCTCAAAGCACGGGAAGCCCCTTTCGTGCAACAGAGGAACATTAATGAAAGGCAGGCAAGCCTGTTGCATTTCCCAATCTGAAATGACATCCCTACAGCCTTTCTCCTTGAGACCAGCTAAGTATTTGCCACAAGCCTTCACATGTTACCTTCTACTGGACAGATCACAGGATCTGATCTCCATCATACTGCTACACACAGCAAAGAGACAAGGGGCCTCGAGGGATTTTTGAGTGAAACAAGAGTCCCTGCAAATTTGTTATGAAAAATCTACAGCATTTAATAAAACAATGCCTTCAGTGCAGAATATACCTCTCCCAGTTGAATTTTAACTAAAACACAGTTGCTAAGAACTGTGTGAAAATACTGCAGAGAAGTTATTGTTCACTGAAATCCTAAATTGGATTTCCCACCAGAGAGTTTTACCTTTAAACCAAAAAGAGCCACAAACCAACCAAAGCATCACACACTGCTTTGGACAAAACCGCTGGGAGCAAAGGCCTGAAGCATCTTCCTAAGAAACTTTCCACATCAAGTGAAGGCAGACAATAGCCTGGGCACTTGTTCTACCCATCCATTTGCTGCCTATACCTATCTAACTGACATAGGCAGCTCACCGGCCTCCAGCCCTCATGTTCTGTATCTGCCCAGCTTTGAAGTGGCCTGGATCAGGCAGAAGAGCAGATCTCTGAAATTTTACCTGGCTTGCCTCCTCAGCCTCAGGTCCTTCCTCCAGAACCTGGATTTTTCCCTCTTGTTTTAAGGAAAATCTAGCTCCACACCATTCACTTTTAAAAACAAAGCTTGTTAAGGTTATATCTTTAATAAATAGCTAAGTCTCCTGGCTTCTTAAACTGGAGAGATGCTGCTGGCAGTGCACTTAGCCAGTTGAGGCCAAGGCTGAGGGAATGGGGCATTTTCCTTTTGACTGCAATCATAAGGATCAGCAGGCTCCTAACAGCTGCGCGCTCACAAATGCACACAAAGCAAATTAGCAGCTTTCCTTTAAGGGCAAAGAGAAAAGAAAAAGCCTGAAGAAGAAAGCCAGTGGGCAGGGGCAGGCAGAGGGCTGGCAGCACACGCTGCAGGCACATGAGTCACCTCTTCAGCAGCATGCTCTTACCCAACCTGTGGGCAATCACCAGATCCAAGTGTTGCAGACAACTCATTCACTCACCCTCACTTGTTTGAGAACCTGTCGTTTTTTTCTTCTTGTTTTTTGTTTTTTGTTTTTTGTTTTTTTTTTCTTAGTATGTAGTGCACCTGACTGCTGAGAGAAAAGGTGCTCCCACCTGTATTGGATGAGGAGCATGGGGCGCTTCTACAGGCGATGCTAGCATGGTTTACTCAGTCTGTGGACACAGCTACGTGTGTCTTAGACCATGAAATAGTGGCTGTAAGTATATATGAGAACAGAAAATGTTTATTTTGGTTGTGGGCACGAAAATCCCGCAACCACTCAGAGGAAAAAAAGGCTTAAGTGAGAAGTATGCATGCAGCTCGGCCCCCTGACAACAGCACCGCTATGCACCAAGCCTCAGCCCCTTTGGTAGCTGTAGCCAACTAGTTTGCCCTGCCAGAGTCAGCCCTAAAACTGTGCCCAGAGTTTTGGCAGTGCCGCTCTGAACACAAGTTACAACAAGTCCATCTCCCTCGCTTCCTCTTGGTTTGGATGATTAAAGGACCCACTGATGTTCTTTCCCATGCAACGTGATTATTTACTGGGTGTGGGGCAGAGTGCAATGACTAAGAGTATTTTGATGGCACTCCTGGGACGCCGTCGTGTGTACAAAAGAAATGAAAACAATAATCGAGGAGAGGAACTGACAAGGTCTGGTTTCTCGTGGGTACTCTCATCCTAGGAAAAGCATCCCCTCGCCTACTAGGGTGCAGGTTAACAAGGGGATTTCTCACATGACTCTCCTTTCATGATTGTGTAAGGGTATAACTACGTTCACACCACTGCCTCCCTCGATGAAAACCATAACTCCGCTTCCTCTTGCTGGTTTTCTTTTCAGAAAGCATTTAATAAGATTAAGGGATCCACTCTTTTGTCACATTCGATGGAGTTTATTCAAAGGTTACGTATGAGTGAGTAGGATGCAAGGGGCTATCTGACACACACAATCATTTCCTCTGGAAATGAGATAAGGATTTACGGCTTCATAATGAGTCAGCACTGTTAGCAATTTTAAACTCAACAGTCTGTGCTAGAACTCGTCAATATTAAGTAAACATAGCTGCGATTTTTGATGAGGCTTGTGCATCGGTGACTCATTTGCTCGTATCAGAAGAGAAGGCAAAGAAGTGCTGATTGGCCTAGGGCAGGAACGCAGCATTCCTGAGTTTATGTCACACAAATGAACTGCCCTATTCTATAAGCAACGAGCCCTCCAGTTCCAGTAATACTGTAAAATGATATATATATTTTTTTTCCCAAACAGGTCACATTTTAGTTCCACAAAAAGATCAGTTTACATTATGCAAATTTATTTGCAACAATCTAGTCATTCTGCATCTTCTTGTTGTAATTTCCCTATACAATGTCAAGGGCTGTATCAACCACAAGCATACCACCACATCAGTACTTTGGGCATTTCAGATACATAAGGACTCAATGTTGCACTATTTGGCCAACTTTCTTCTCCAACACACCATGATAACAAAAGATGGGGACCAGAATTGACATCTAGAGAAGACACAGTGCACCCAGATCTCAAATCTTCTGGGTGACAGCTGTGCCAGGTGTTATTTCTGTATCCACAGACAACAGAGACTGCTCCAAAAACCAGCACCTCAGCTTAGAAAATGTAAAAGTGACATTCCTCTTCCACTATACTTCATGTAGGCATGGGTATTAACATCAATGGATGTAGTAAGCTTAGCAAAATCAAAATAAGTCACTGAATTTGTGTGACAGACAGCTTTTGTAGAATCTCTTTTTCTTCCATACATACACATATGTCTTTTTGAATGTTTCAACAGTGAGAAGCAAAACAGCATTGTTAAATTGTCTGGAGCAGCCACACTAAAAAACTTAGCTAATAGATCAAGATATCTTTGATTTCTTTTGTGCTTCACATAGTGGAGAGTTTTCATCATGACTGAGAAGCGCTGTGCCACAAGAGAAGCAACAAACTTACCGAATAACGAGCAGTTCCACCCAGACTCTCACAAAAGCAGGCAGCGGGCCAAAGGCCTCCAGGATATATGTGTAGTGACCACCAGATTTCTTAATGCATGTTCCCAGCTCAGCATAGCAGAGGGCACCTGTGAGAGTGAAACTGAAGCATCACAAGAGACATCCAGAAACAACTTTCCAAGCATCTGTAAGGTGAACAACCGAGCTGCTATGGTAACACAACAGCTTCTGATACATTCTAATCCTCCATATTCTTTTTTCAAGAGGCTTAGAAGTTCCATGTCATTCCGGTGGACTTGTGTAAGCCATGGCACGAAGTGTTTACAAGCAAGGTGCTTCTTACTCATCCACACTGGTGTGGCACAAAGTGCTGCATCATGCCAACAGTGCAAAGCCCTCTGACACATAGTTACGAGCAAATATTGCCCGGCGGCATCCAACCTGCCTCATCCTTGGAGGAAAGCCTGAATATGGCATTCCCCTCCCTCCTCAGCCACAGGAAGAGCAAGCAACTGGCTCATGTTTGGAAGCAGGAATCACAGATGGAGGATTTTCCTCACTGGTACCACTGAAGTCTCGCACACCAAACTCAGGGAATGGCTTAGCTCTATCAGCATTGGATTTCCCAGCAAAGAACAGCTCCCCAAGGAGATGCTCAAGGCTGCTGTCAGCATGATGCTGACATTACAGAGCTGTAACAGCATACTGTGACCATGCGTGATCACTGGTCCTCATTCAGCCTTACAGCCTGTGGATTCTTCATTCCATGGGCAAAGAGGGCACTGGGTCTGCTCAATGCAGGCAGCCCTTTTTGGAGGAGCCACAAGAAAACCAGTTTGTAAGCACTGCATTACACAAAGCATTACACAGATCAGCAACATGTGCAAAGCCTTTTCCCTACCTGCTTTTATGCTGCTTCATGTTAAGGTGAAAACTACAGTTTTCAAAACCGCCCGACACCAAGCCCAAAGAAGCCGTAAGACTTTACAACACATTACATCCTCCTTTTGCTTTGTTTGGGGATTTGCAAAAACATGACAGCTTTTATCCAATCATCTTTAGCTTTCCCGGAAAGGTACTTAAAGAAATTCTTAGAGCCACATTAAAAAAATATATTCACGGGCTTTCTCTTGCCAACCTGCTCTGGAGTGATTTGGAATGAAATCAAACCATGGTTTGATACATATTGCACAGACAGCCTCAGCAAGAGCCTAGGTGACCTTTGTATGAGGCCTTAAGTCTTGTAGGAAATGAGAAACGTTAATGACAAAAATATTATGAAATAACAACTGTAGCAGGTCCATTTAGAGGGAAGAGGTAATATCTTTTACTGGACCAAATGAGACAGATCTCTGAATGTTGAGATCTGGAAAACGCCAAGGAAAAGCCACCTGATTTTTTTCCACAGACTTTACTTCACAGTCAGAAAATTGCTATTATTGAAGTTAAAGCTAAATAGGAGATGCTTAAGCAAATTCTGTTTTGACTGCACCTAAAGACCAAGGTCCTATGCCAGGGTTACGAATTGTATTTGAGGTGCTTCTTTATAGGGGAATTTTTGTTACAGGCAGGACTTAAAAGTTTGGACAACAAAACATGTTGCACATTGTGCCAATACAATTAACATCTGACCAGAACAGGTCCTAACTTTCTTGAAACATCTGTTTGGCTTGGGTGGACTTAGCCTCCAAATGCTCAGTGCTGCTTTTAAGCTCAGAGCCAAGTTACACAGGGTGGCATTTGCACATTCCACCTATTAGACAGACACGTGTTAGCCCCTATTTGTCCTCCCTACCTCGTGCCAGAAAACAAGTCGTCTCTGTTTTAAATAAAGCCAATGCTTATGTTATTCCTCCGCTTCTTTGAGATTAACTCATTAAGGAGGTCAATGGACCCTCTGTCCCCCAGGAGCCAGGGTGGGGTTTTCCGCTCTGAATGGGGCTTTGTGTACAGAACAAACCACCCAGCATTCCTCAGAATGTAATATTGTTAAAAAGAAACACAGCAAAATTAGTAAAATCTGCCACAATGGGCAAGCCAGCCATAAAACTCATTTTACGCATTTGTTTCTGCCGCATTCATCCTCGCAAGCCGAACTTTTCAAGGCACACTGCAAGCTGGGAATAAAGTGAAAAGCAGTAACATGAGACAGGGGAGAGGGGCTGTTGGTGTTACTGCTCTGCTCCCTCTCATACCAACACAGATTACACCCGGTGGGAGTTATTCCCTGAGACCTTGACTGAGCCTCCAGGGAACCAAGCAAAGCTGCCTCAACAGTTTGCCCCACACGCCAGCTGCCAGGGGCCTCACAAGCAAGCTGTGAGCTACTTCTTACAGCCAGAAAAACAGCATATTACATACAGCACAGCTAACGGGAGAAAGTGGGCACTTGCTTTTTTCTTTAGGGACCCATGAGAAACAACCTGCACTCACAACCTGTGCTGACACAGTGCCGGGTGACAGGGACTGTGGACTGCTGTGCCTTGCATGCAGCTTGTTGCAGAGCAAAAGCCTTCCGCGGCCCCATTGGTCCTCGGGCTCCATGCTGAGCCTTGATATCCAATGGAAAATCAGACAAAAAATAGGAATAATCCACCGGCTGCCCCTCCAGACCAATTGGAAGCACTGAGCAGACTTACCGAAAAGCGAGAGGATGCCGCATGCTGTCCAGACCATCAAGGACATGCCCACGCTGCCCGTGTTCTTCAGGATCCCCTTGGGTGAGATGAAGATGCCAGCTCCAATGATAGTGCCAATGATGATGGAGATCCCCCTCAGCAGTGTGACTTTCTTCTTCAGTACCACCTTCTCCTGAGGCTGCCTGCTGTCCATGGAGGGCAACCTGCCGTTCGGCTGCCCCTGCAAGTAGCTCCCATTAGACACCGTCACGACGGCAGCTTTCCTCACCATGCTACCGTGTCACCAGAGTGCTGACAGCGAGCGCAGCCAAAAAGTTCACAAGCTTTTCCCTCTCTCAGCCTCTTCCTCCGCCGCCTCTTATCGGCGGGGTTGCTCCTACGTGCAGGTAGAGCTCTGCTCTGCCCCGCTGCCTGCCAGTGCTCGCAGCACCTGCACCCTCACCCTGCCCACGGGCACTGCCCTATCGTTGGGAACCAGCTCAGCTTCCGCGTGGACCTGTATTTAAGCTCTTGTCGTACCAAGTTACTCCAGCTGAATGATGATGCAAATTCTCCAGGTTTGCATCAGCCATTTGAGAAACCTCTGGCATTACTCAGCACTTTTTTTTTTTTTTTTCTTCTCAAAGCGTAGGGGCATGTTGCACAACCGACCTGAGCGTGGTAGGAGGAACAAAGCCTTCACAGGAAACCCAGCCCATCGAGCTCAGAACATCGCCGCCGGCACCCCCAGACACGCTCCCCAATTTTTTAGAGCAACTTGTATGCAGAAACAAAAGCCTGCCGAAACACAAAGCGTGTCGGAGCGCGAGGGGAAAAGAAATCAAACAGGATACGTCAGCTCTGGGTCTGATCCAGCTGCTTTTTCTCTCAGTTCTCTTAGTGAAAGTTCAGCACGCAGGGCTGAACTCCTCGTCTTGCTGCAGTGGGTCAACCTCTGCCTACCTGTGAGCTTATGAGAACTGTCTACACTTACCTAAAGAACACATACAAACCCCTGTTAGCCCGTGTTGCCTGGCAACACACCCAAATCAGACTGGTGAAAATCTAGGTTATTTCCCTAGTACAGTGATTTTCATATAGGCGGCGTTTCTGGGATGTTGGTAGCAACTCGACAGTGACATTTCCCCTTCAGAAACACCATCCCTGTCTGCAGATGCCATGCTCTGGCAGGAGGAGAGCTGCAGGGAGCACGGGGTCTCCAGCCACTCTGCAATCCAAGTGTTCCCTCTCACAAAGGCTCTCAGAGCAGTCAGATTATTGCTGGACCCTGCAAACTTCTGTTCCAACACCCAATTCCTCAAATTCCAACCTGAGAAATTAAAATCTTAAAAAGAAGAACCCTCTCCTCAAGCAGAGTGAAGATTACTAGCCTTCAAGCACTTGTCAGCTAATTAAGGGGCATGCAATATGTGCCAAAGGGAAAAATCCTGCCCAGCTTAACTTCTGCAGCTGCTCCCGGCTTCAGATCAGATCAGTGCACAAAGAAGTGATTCCCGGGGTTGCTGTTTAATTGGGACCTGGGCTTGGGGTGGGGAAAGATAACAGTAAAGCAGCATTTTATCATGTGAGAAACAGGCGCTGAGCTCTGAGCACAACTGTGCTTTCACATTTATTTGGGAAACAGGAGATGCTGAAGTACTAAAACACTGCAGCTGTAAAATTACAGTGATTTTAAAGCCTCGCATTTTCAGTTATCACTCACCTGTAATAATTTGCACCGAGGTGAAACAAGGCATGCTAAAAGCTTATCTGGTTTAAATGCACGCAGGTAAAAACAGAAAGCATTTGAGCTTTTGACTGCAGACTGGCAATGCCTGTTTTCTGAACACATCCTGCCCTGCCTGCCCCAGCACTGCTTGCACCTGACCTCGGGACATGCCTGCTCCTCACGCAGCACTGCAGGGTCCGAACTGAGCTGACTCCCCCAGTTCTGGTCACACACGAAGCCACGAGGAGGTGTCATACTACACGGAACTGTTTTCCCTTGGTATACATTCGTTAGACAGTCTCTCAACAAGATTATTAATGCCTGAATTAAGTAACCAGATCGAACCAGGAAAAAGCATTAACCACAGAACTGGGGTGGGCTGATGATCTTTATTCTCATTTCCGAAGGCTGTTTACAGAATAGACACATGACATCTTGAAACATCTAATAGTGTAATGCAGTCATTCTTACCTAATGCTTACCCTCTGTTTCAGTAGGAAGATGGCTGCAGGATCACATCAAAGCTCAGTGGGCTCCCAGCTGATCCCCAGGCAGCTCCCCACCACTCAGCCATCTGCATCAGTAGCAGCACCAGGCAGTCAAATGGCTTTCTAATTTCATTTGATCCTTAGCCAAAAGAATGCAAAAATGTTCTGAATCCACATTTGCCCTTTGGACATGGCTAGTAAATAACACTCCCCCACACAGGAAAAAGGCTGCTTGCTGCTTCTATCGGGGAGGATGGTGGGCACGGAAAGCTTGAGACTATGTAGAACTCTCACCAAACTGTCTAAAGTGTGAATAATCAAGGAGGGATAGAAGCAGAAAACCCTTTTTCTGAACTATTGGCAGCTTGCTCACGATTACGCTGTTCGCAGCCTTTCCAGTGAGCACTGCAGCGTACAGCTACCCATTAAAGCCAAACAAGTTCCCACATTCAAAGTTTACTTCAAACTATCAGAACAGAGAATACTTATTTGGTGCTCGGGGATGGTTTGTGGTTTTCTGGAAATGTCATGAGAATCCTCCGCCGAGAATGCCCACTGCTGCTCCACAGTACACCGTGTGTTCCAAACCCGTTTTCATCACCTGCAGCCCACCATGGGCTGTGATAGAATCCCTGGACAACCACAGCACAGCACTCAGTCTTTTTCAGAGAGCTCTTCCAAAGGCACGGAGCTTAACCTGCCTGATGCTCAGCACAGCCCTCTTCTTCCATAAAAACCTGCGCTGGAAACGGAACAAAAAGATAAAAGGTACAATTTCCTTTAGACTGATGAAATTATTGGAAGCAGTGTTTCCAAAGATGATGCTCTGAAAATAAACCTTCATTCCCTGATGGCAGCTGGCATTGTGCACAGCTTTTTATTGTTTCTCTTCGCTTTTTTTCCCCCTCACTCCCCAGACGTTTTCTCCTGAGCAAACATTTTCAAACATAACAGAGATCATTACAGTGAGATGGCTTCCTTCTGAACTGCACCATCAGCCCTGGGACAGCGCTTCACAGGCTGAAAAGCCTTGATGTACAGTTGGGACTAGCAGGTCTTGTGCCAGATTCTGGACACCACTAAACCTTGACTCTGAAGAAGCTACAGTGTGGATATTTCCCCTGAGAAAAGCTACCAGACACAACACACGCACCTTAAAATTCAAGTCTGGACTTGAGTTTCAACTTCTCAAGCCCACATAAACTCCTTGATTTCAAGGTGTAGCAAGAATGTTTTGATAATCCTTCCAGGAATTTGCATATCAGCTCATTGCATCAAGCATCTCAAGAGTCACAAGTCAAGCCTCCAGGCCATACACTGCCACAGCCACTGGAGACATAGAATAAAAGGAAGTATGGCGAGGCAATGAAAACCCCAAACTTCTCCGTGTGGGTGGCACGGCATGAAAAAGTTGTTTAGAAAACTGGGCTGAGTCTTCTCTGCATAATCCAAACTGCTTATGTGCCTCAGAAAGCAGCTCTGCAGTAAAGTGGTAGTCTGGTTTCACACGTCAAAGGAGGACAAAATACCTACAAGTCTTTGTTTCATGTAGAATATCTAGCAGTAAAAACTTGTGACTGGGGATTTTCGGTTCTTTTTGTAATGTTAAATATTTTAACTAACTCTGGGAAAAAAATACCTGTAAGCAATTTAAATGCTCAGTTGTTACAAGGAATTAAGTGAGGAAAGCATCATCATATACAGAAATCCCAGTAGATCAAGATGGGTTTTAATATTATAAAGAAAACCTGGATCTGTAAGAGGATGGTACGTTCTCTACTTCAAGCTAGAGTTTTAGTTAAAAAAGGGAATTACAGAGAAAGCTGGAGGATGTTATTTTGCAGTCAGTCTCACAAATTATTCAATTATTTTGCATTCCACTTTGTGCTGGATACAAAGATAGCTTAGAAGAAAGAAAGAAAAAAAAAAAAAAAAAAAAAGAAAAGGAGAGGAATGAAATAGCTACCCAGTTGATAGGTTTTAAAAATCAAATGAAAACCTAGAAGAAATACAAAAGCAATTCAAATGTTATTCCATGAATTTTCAGTAAAAGACTGCCAACAAAATGCCTATGCAGTCAGCAAATAGAAATCTGCTTCCAAGAAGCCTACAGACAACGATAGCAGATTAGAAAGCAAATACTTTCTAAGATTCAATCTCCAATTCCAAGGCTGTTCAGCCTGGAAAAGAGGAGGCTCAGCGGAGAACCTGATAGTGGCCTTTCAGTATCTAAAGGGGGGCTGTAAGAAAGAAAGGGACAGACTCTTTAGAGGGGTCTGCTGTGATAGACCAAGGGAAAATGGTTTCAACACTAAAAGACTTATGTGAATGTAAGAAAGGTTTTTTTTTGTTTTGTTTTGTTTTTTACCATAGGGTTGATGAGGCACTGTAACAGGTCGGCCAGAGAGGTGGTGGATGTTCCATCCCTGGAGACATCCAAGGTTGGGCTGGACCAGGCTCTGAGCAACCTAATACAGCTGTAGGTGTCCCTGTTCGTTGCAGGAGAGTTGGGCTACACAACCTTTAAAGGTCCCTCCCAACTCGAAGGATTCTGTGATTCAATTAGCTGATACCTGCCTATCAATTTTCAGTCAGAAAAGAAAAAAACAAAGCTTTTCAGAAATCCATCCTGTATGTTTCACTACTAGAGCTTTATTTCCAGCTGCAACCATGATAATTTCAACTGAACAGTTGGATGTTTTAATGATTTTTTTTTTTTTCAAATGGACAAAAATCATTAATGCCTGGTACCAAGCAAGAGAACTTCAAATGAAAAAAAGCCAATTTTTACTGAAGCCCTACATATATGGATAAAGGATAGTGCTTTAAACCATCTCACTTTTCATATTTGTAACCTATGCTATTATAGCCAAAGCAATGCTGTACATAAATATTATTCTTAATTTTTTCATGTTTGCATTTCTTGTCAGCAGAATGAGACAACAATTTTCAGAGTCTCTATGTTATCCTTCCTCATCTTTTGGACGCACACGCTGAGATATCCCATGGCTTTCAAGAATCAAGGCTTTGTGGTAAATTTCTGTCAAAAATGCAGAGATTCCTGGCACAAACACAAGTTTATTGTTGACTTCAGGAAGCCAAGATTTTACTTGAGGTTTCTTAACTTAGCCTGAGTGTGTCAACAAAATTAATTGCCGCTTCTGAAAAATTAGGCTTTCTAAAAAATGAAGACAGGTAATTATCACAGAAAGGGTTTTCTTTCCTACTTCATCTCTCCATTTTCTTGATGAGAATTCTTCACACTAGGTAAAAAGCTTATCATGTGAAGAAATCAGGTAACAGTTGCTTAGATTATCATACTGAGAGCTGGCCGCTTAACTAATCCCTATTTGCTTTTACTGCATTGTTCATACAATTTATCCTGTATTACACACACAAGAAACAGGATGCTGGGGCACTTACCTTCCTCATCTATTTGGCCAAGTCCTGTACTTCACGTGAATCCCATTCTGCCATGATGAGTCAAATTTTCTATGAAATCCTTTTAATGAGCTAACAATACCTATCCCAAATCACAGGTGTGACAACGAAATTCAGCCACTGAATCCTGCTACTAAAATAATCTATACAAAATATTGGAAAGGGGAGTTTTCAAAAACTTGAGCAAAATTTCATTATACTGACCACTCCACAGGGAAATCTTTCAGATCACTTCTCCTAATCTGTACTCCAGTTCCTTAAACTCACCCCAAAAGAAGGTCACCCTTCTCTCTTGTCAAGTTTAATGAGCTCATTCCCCTCCTGTTGCATACAACTTAGACTACACTGAGCATAGATTCAAAGTTATTTGATTCTTCTGAAACAGAAAACTCTTACCCAAGCACCCAAGAATAATTGTAATGGGATTTTTAGTTCCCTTCTCATTCCTCTCTCAATTGCCAGATGCAGCAACAGAATTGCATCTGTGGATTTCTCCTCTGGTTCATTTAATATAGCTTTTTGTCTGGAGACCAACCAAGTCCTGGCCACAGCATCTTGCAGCTCATGAACGCAACAAGGTCAGGCTCCAGTCAATAAATTGTCAGGTAGTTAGCACTTCTTTAACATCAGCAGCAATGGCACAACATGCGCATTTAGAGATGGACAAAATCTTCACAGCCAAGGGCTGAAGCAGTGTCAGAGTTTACCAAAAGGAGGGATTAAACACAGAAAAGCAAAAGCACTACTCAACGTGGGTGTGCAGAAATGCTTCACTGGCGATTGGTGGTCAATCATTCACACTGGCATCATAATTTAGCAATGAAATGTGGCCTACGGATCCTACAGGGAATTGTTTTATTGGCATCTAAATGTGCACACTATGTCTTCTTGAAGTATTAAAAACTCCATCAGAAAGAGCAGTCGTTTGGAGGGCTGCCAAGGCAGTTCAGCAGTTTGTACTAGTGCTGCTCCATATATTATTCCTACATTTCAATAGGGTAAAGCATCTTTGTGCTGAGGTCAGCTTCTGCTTCTTTGAAGGTGGAGTTCCTCTTTTCCACATTCACAATATACTCTTCAGAGGTATTGTCCATCCAGTTAAGACTAGAAGAAGGTACTGAACAATGCTATACTGCAAATCACATGAATACTTAAGTATTACAGAAGCTGGGGGAAGCCTGGCCTTCTCCTGTATCAATTTTTTGTCTTGGTTACATAATGCAGACTTCTTTCTGCTTAATTTAAAAAAATTGGAATAAATATGTACTTGACAGGAAGACAGTCTAAGCAGAGAAATAAAGATAATCATTTGAAGATATTATTTACTAATAGCTAACTTCAGTTTATTAAATTCCTTCAGAGAAACTAGGGAAAGTACAGCATCCCAATTTGGCTTTCTGAAAACTACATAGATTTCAAGACACATCCTCATACACCACAGTAACAAGTTTGGTATGCCTGGGGTATTTTGCCATTTGTTGTTCCTTTACTTTGATTTTCCTTTTTCCATTTCTCACCTTTTCTCTCACTTTAAGTACACTCTATAAATTCTGAGCTGAAGTAGGAGCTATTCAGAAATTTCTCTTATTTTTCCATACTTTTCAATGCCCCTTCCCAGGGCAAAGAATAAATCTCTGTGAACAAAGTCTCATTCATTCTTTGATCTCAGCATCTATCATGACTGCAGATAGCTTATTAAACCTGTATCAAGCAAACAAACAGCTTATCTCAGGGCTATTTTATTGTCCTGCTTGCCCCTCTGGCTATTTCAGCATTGCTCATTTGAGGAGGACTTGACCAACCAGCTCTAAGCCAGCCTCACTGTGATGGCGTTCTCTCTCTGACTTTTTTCTCCCAACTTCTTCCTCCAGCCCAGCCTTGCACGAGAAGACAATGAGCAACAGTACTGATAGCACTCTCACTAAAACAGATTAACAACCACAAATCTGTCTCAAAGTGGGCGGATGAAAGAACTGATAGCAGACACCTGGTTCAACAGCTAAGGCACCTAAAAGCAAAGCATGCCTGTGAATCCATTTATCTTACTCCACAAATAGTGAGCAGCCCAAGAGCTCCTTGAGTGGGGCTGCAAGACAGAGTCTCACATCAAGTAGGGATGCCTCTTGAGGTCATGCAGAGATCCCTTACGCCTTGATGACAACATGCCTTGCCAGTGCAGATCTTGTGAATGTGACTAATAGTTTCTCTTAAGTTTAGCTAGCTTCATTAAGATCATATCTTAGATTCACTGTAAGCTTTGCTAGCTTTGCCGAAATCATTTTAGACTGATTGTGCACATACAATTCCTTAGGTATGAACTACTGACAAAGCCTGGGACCAGAAGTGAATCCAGCTGCACTTAGGCTCCTTCCCTCCGTGGTTCAAGGGTTTTAGAAAGCAAGGGGTTCCACTTTGAACATCGTGACTCAATGGGAAGGTCTCCTGTATGAGTGTATTTAATCTTAACATCTATAATCAAGTGCATACAGCCATCTCAAATCTTGTGAAGTCACTGTTAAATCACTACATTATATCTATATTGTATCAATAAACATATTCCTGCTTCTCTCTCATTAGTGAAGTGTATAATGTAGTTGTTTCCAGATATGATACTTGTGTGTCCACACTAACGCAGTCAAACAGAAACCTCAGTGAGGAAATAGCCATTACCAGGGTACCAGCCATCTCTTAACCCATCTGGAGGCTGCCACATCTGCACATCTGGTTGAGTGTAGACTCAACCATGCCAGCTCAAACCACAGGTGCCAAACTTCTTCCTCTCCATCCAGTGGTCTCATTATGGGAGGCAACTGAGCAGGCAGGCTGAATGGTCAGTGAGTCAGGACTAAAGCCCTCGGCTCAGACCTTGACACACACAGCATGTAGATCCTTGTAGCTCCATTATAAATTATCTACGCCCTTCACCGTATCATCTTCCCTGTGATTCTTCTATAGGCACCATCCTTACTCACTAATAAAAGAAAATTTGTTTTTTTTTTTTTTTTAATACGCTTCACTATCAATATCGACTCTTAAAAAACATAAATTCTCAGAGCATTTTTTGCCTGGGCTGTGAGCACACAATTAGAGGAGCTGGCTGGCAGGGGTCATTTTCCTGGTAATGGCAAATGAGGGGTGTGCCCTAAGCTCAGCAGGTCCTTTTTCAAATGGAAAAGGCTTCACTGCTCCTTTATCACCACAAAAAAAAAAAAAAGAAAAAAGAAAAAAACACACACACAAAAAAAGCAGAAGAGGCACTAACAGTCAAAACACCAAACAACTGCCAGCAGATCCTGATGCCGGAAAAGAGTAGCTTTGATGGACTGTCCTCCTTGTACAGACAGCCTGGGTAAGCTGTAAAGAATTGAGGACACCTTCGTGAACCACAGCACAAAGGACTGAAAGGTCAAAGTAGTAAATAATTTCACTTAACAGAATGCATTTGGCTTTATATTTCTAATATTACTTCCCAAGACAAAAGTTATTCTGAACACACAGGGTGACAAAATAGGAGTCCAATCTCTTGACAATTGCTCTGTCAGAGACCTGGAAATGAGAAATGATGCTCTGAGAAACCATTTGTCTTCCTAACTCTCCTTTAATCTCCTTCAGCCCAGTTTTTCTGGATGAGTTCCGAGTCTCCGTTCTTCTGCACGACACACACGAAACCAGGTATTTGGGAACCAATGCGCCAACACAGTGCAGCCACAGTGAATGGCGAGTCTCTCCAAGGGGTGGGAGAGTTTTTTACATGCTCTGTTTTAATTTCACCTGTTGAGATTATCCTACCCCAGCCTGACCTAAACACGTATATAGAAAACATCGCTATTAACTTCTATTAATCTCCTCATAAGTGAATCCATCTTTTTCAACCTGAAAATGAATTAATCTTCCTATTCCACACAGTGCAACGTGTCATCCACTCGGTGCGTTTTCTGGTCAGTTAAACAAATAATACAAATGCACTTTTCAATCACTTAGGCTAAAGGCCAAAGCTAAAATTCCTAGCCTTACGTACACCCAGGGCAGAACTTTTTACATCAACTCTTATCCTGTTCTGAGTACAATAAACTCAAACGACACAAAATCCTACTACGTATTCTCAGAAAGCAAGCTGCAACTCCTCAGGGCAAAACACCTGCACATTTGTATTTCCTCTTGTGTGACCTTGCATATACTTCCTCTTCCCCACTTCTGGTAATTAGTAACAGACCTGGGAGCGCAGGGAGGAAGGTGAAGACAGAAAAACAGGAATTCTGCCAACTTCTGATCTGAAAAAAAACATTCTCTTCTTAATTCTGGCAAAGTTTACATCAGTTTACTTGCATTCTGCAGCTGTAGCTATCACCAACCTCGTTTATAAGGGAAAACTGTCAGAGTATGCAAAAGTAATTCCAAATCTAAAAGGCAGGAACGCTTCAGCCTCTGTCTTCTGGATTTTCACGTCTGTTGGCAGTTTCTGTAATTGAAGCAGCAGATTCAAAACTCAGCGCCACAAAATAAATAATGAGAGGTAACAGTACGGTAGTTTATTAGGTTAAAAGGAAACCTGCAACTATTTTGTTCAGCAAACATAGCCTGAAAGTAAAAATAATACCGTGGGAACAAAAATAAATATGTATTAGTTTGTTTTTCTCCTTGAAAATAAACATCCAGGTGCATAGGAAACTGCATATTTCAGCTCATCAGGGAGCATGCAAGGGTCGATGAAAGGACTTTGGGCTCCTTCCTCTCTAACCAGTTCACAGGCTGGTCTCCGAATTTTAATAGAGCCTAGGGAATATATGGTTTTGTTCCTGTTCAGATAGGAAGAGAGCCAGTCATACCCAAAGCACTGCTGTAAGGACTGTAAGAAATAACACCAAAATGGCAGGCAGGCAGGCAGGCAGGCATCAGCACAACCGCAGCACCACCAGTGCAGAAGAAAAACTTGTGTCTGTGTGGATTACTTGTGGCAGAACCTATCAGCTTCAGGTCCAGAATCTGCCCCTGAAAATAAATATAAATTGGTCTGATTGTGAGGGAAGTACCCAGGGCAAACATTTTCAATTGCCTCTTAGAGCAAATTGAATTGTGCCTATTGGCAATATCTATCACCTAGAGAAAGGGATGCTTCTTTGCTCCAGACAAGACAGATGTGCAGTTTAAACCTCTCAGTCACCAAAATGTCCTTCCTACCTAGCTGCCAGGCAAACTAGTCAGCTTTGCATGAAGACCTGAGGATATGATGTTCTGTACAACCTCCCTGGTATTTAAAATAACAAAATTCAGCTTCCACTTACAATTATGCTGAGTAGATAGCCAGGTTTTGCTTAACTTTACCTGCATGCCATTTCTGCTACCTAACTCCTCTTCAAATCCAAAATTGTGGAAATTTACTCACATTTTGGGCTCTTTGATGTATTCATTTTGGTTATTTTTCTGTTCATTGGAAAGGTATTTTTATCCTGTAGAGTCTGACTCCATCCTGAAGAGGAAAATATTATAAACAGATTATAAGCAGCATGCATTCAAATAAATTACATGTTTAAATGTGTCAGTTAAATTATAATGCTCAATTAGACAGCTAATTATGTTGAAAATGCAGTTGTGTGCATAAACTGATGGCCACTCCCCCAGCCTGCCTGGCTGCTTCCATTCATACATTGTCCCTTTCTAGGTTTTATCTTTCAAATATCACCCGGTGGAAGGTTTACTTAAGTGCAGTCATACACTGCTCCACTGTTACTCCATTTAACAAAATCATTTCAAATCCTATTCAGCATTCCCACTGAGCTGTGCTACCTGCCATCAGAACTTTAGGGCCGGTAGGGTGGGATGTGTGGGGCAGGTGCCCAGATTTGTAGGGGTCACATTCCCTAAGGCCTTTCCCTCTGTCCGTGAAGTCTCATTTTTAATTACCCTCACCACGTCATTTTAAAAGCATACAATCCATTTGTTTTTAATTTACGTGCACACATGAGTTTTACAATGACCTCTTGAGTTAACAAAGAAGCTGTGCATGAAACCATAACGGCAACATTTACGTCTATAAAGCACTGCATTGAAATTGCCACTGCGCTCATTAATACTAGATAGGACCTGGAAACCAAACAGGAGAGAGACTCTGCAAGAGTAAATGAATCAAAACTTGATTTAAGGATAATACCTGGTATGACAAAACAGATCCACGTATGCATTTGTGACATATACACAGTCATTATGCAAGAGAGACCTTTTAAGATATACTGTCTCTGATTCACCCTTCATTTAATTTCTGTAAGTTTACTGTGTGTATTAGGATCCAAACTAACTGAAGCATTTACACAGCAAAATCCAAGCTCTCATAAAGGGTGACTTCTGTGAATAGCTAAATGACTTGTTTGGTGCTTCCAGGCTGTGCCATATCTCATTTCTTACGATATGAAAGGGATCATTAGTAAAGTTCATCAGTATCACTAGGTTTGAAATTTCAGCAAAATAAAGACAGCATGAAACTACCAAACAGAAAAATCAGCTCCACTGCAGCATACCAGTAGCACTTCAGTCAGCTCTGCTATTCAGTTCTCATGCTTAGATGACACAGAAAAAATTAATGCTGAAAAAACAAACAAACAAACAAAAAACCAAACACCATAAGCCTGACCATTTTCTTGTCGTTTGATATTTCTTCCAAATGGCCATGACTATACATTACATTTTAAGGCCTGAAAAAATTATGATAGTTTCTCCATGCTGTCAAGCCATGTATGCCAGAATTATTTGTAAAATTGTTCTCAGTCAGTCTATATCTCACAATAATCCATTTGAGACCTGCCAGTAGAGGAAAAACCAACAAAAACAACCCTGTGACTGTAGGTCTCAGCATACGTGGCAGCAAAACCGAGCTTTTTGCAATATCAAAATCAGCCTGGATAAGTACTGCAAATGACACATGAGCCATGGCCTTGACAATACAACAGACAAAAATGATCTATTGCACTCTGCCTTTTTTATTTATTACCTGCATAGCCATTCAAGAAGGAAAGCATTCATAATTATGCTCTCAGGCAGCTCCTCTGAAATACCTCTGAAACCAGGGGATTCCAGGGCGTGTTTTTATGGCACGAACTAAAAATTATCAAATTGCACTTTGAAAATAAAAATGCTGCTTAAACCCTCTTCCAAAAATTTTTGTTGAAATCCACATATCAGTGTCTCACACGTCACTTCGAACCAGTAGCCGTGGCACAACAGACTATTGGAAATACACAGAAAGGAGGTTTGCACTTATCATTCAGCTCTAGGTCTCTAAGCAGCGCCGGCCTGCCAAGGCACAGAGTGACACTGAGAGGGGATACAAACTGCTTAAAGATTTTTAAAGGTTCTTATAACTGTCACTAAGCTCGGTGCTCCACAACAGATTGAAAAATGTGAGAGGCTTTCCAGCTGAAGTCACGTGGGTGTTAAAGAGGATTAACATGAACAGCCAACTAGCAATTGCCAATTTCTTTCTTTCTAGTTTTTTAATCCTCCTTTCTTTATATCTTGCAATAAAACATTTCTTGCCTCCTATTCTATATATTTTCCCCTCTTGGAATAATGCATAAAGGAAGCTGGAAGCCATTTAATAGATGCATCTAGCACAACGAAATTCTGCACTATAGACTCTGCGGATGCAGACTGTGCAGTAAATCGCACTCAAAGCAGAGAGTATTAAATCACAGAACTACTGGAACAACTCAGGGTCACAACTGCTCATTTACACAATTCAGCTGCTGTATGCTTATCTCTGCATTCCCTCCAGCCCCCAGCGCGTATATCAACAAAACCTGTTCAGTCAGAAAAACACCTTTTGCTTTGCATCCAAAGCCACTTCAGAGAGAAATAGAATAGAAATGTTTTGGATGAATCAAACCAAACTGCAGTCTTCACAGGGTAGAGCAATCATCACAGGGTGTCACCACCTCAGAAGGAGAAGGGATGTTGTGCCACCTCGTCCCAACAGCTGGGCTGCTTTCACCTCCACCTCCACCTTAGAAACATGAGTGACATCATGGCTTGGTCCAGCCCTGTAAACATCTTCCAAACACAGCACAGTGGAAAAAAGTGGGTCCAGAGTACTGTGGATAATACTGAGCCAACTGCATTCATCTTTTTCCTCTAGAAACATCTCTTTTGACCAACAAGTCCTTTCTGGTTACCTCATTAACTACTGTACATCAGATTAAGGCCACCCCTTCATTGAGCCTCCCAAGAAAGAGAGCTGCAACAGACGTAGGCCCGAGGGTTCTTGACGCAGAACAGTTGCATCTTGATGCATCTGAGTTGTCACTTTATTAATGGCCCCCACCATGAATTTGCACAAGCACTTTTCAGATATCCTTCCACTCTGGAGAAAAAAGGTATGTTCTTTATTGTTATCCAAAATTTTTCTTTTCTTTTAGACCATATGGTCAAGAAACAACCAACCAACCAACCCCTCTACCTTCACGCCTCTCCCCCAAAAAATCCTACAACCATTCTCCTTTTTAAATTCTTCCAGATTCACTTTAGAGTGAATTTTTCAAGGTTGTACCTTTCAACAACTTTAAGGAAATAGATTAAAAAAAAAAAAAAAAAAAAAAAGAACCCTGATCTTCCTGATTTCTAACTCAGGATTATATTTTCCATTAAGGTTGTTGAATAGAATTCAGAAGAGCAATTTGGCATATACATGCACTAAAACATTTCAACATTTCTCTTTTAAATTCCTTGGGAAGCAGTGGTCAGATTTAAATGCCAAGATGAGGAAGATAAATTTCTGAATGAGACCTCTGAGAGACAGGTTATAGTGAGTTTTAACTGTTATGCCGAGCGTTCTCCAGGTGGAAAAGAATCCAAATGGTAAAGCAGACCCCCGGTTCTCTTACATTGTTCATTTAGGTCAGAAACCTTTGTAATGCTTAAATATTTTAAATTAATTCCCCTAGAAAAACATCCTATGATCTCTATTCACCTTTTTTTTGTAAAACTCTCTTGAAGTACAAAGTTGGCTGAGCCCATACAAGCTGCAGTGGGGAAGAAGTAGAACATCAGTATGGTGAGAGATTGACTGCACCACTGGACTGATGCTCCAGTGCAGCACCTTTCCTTGTGTCCTTTTGTGAGTGAAAGAGATGGCCCAAAATGGGAGTAGTTTAGATGACAAAACAAATAAGCACGATAATTTTCCGCCGTATTTGCTTTCTTATAATTCATATAGTCTTCATTCAATTATCTTAAACCAGATAATCTACATACCAGTCTTCAACAAGGACAAAATACCCTTCAAGAGATACCTGTTAATAGTATTTAAGGTATTAACTATCTGAATTCTACTCAGTCCTCTGAGAGGTCTTTAGCTCTTGCTTATTTGGGTAGAGGTTTCTAGATATAAAAAAGACAACTTCAGCAGAAGGCTTGATCATCTTTTAAAATACATATTCAAAAGCAAATAACAATTTCTTTAAAAAAGAAAATGACACAGATTCAAACACATTTAATGGATCACAATAATGTAAAGGAGAAAATCTGGCCTATCTTCATTCTAAAGTAAACAGCATTTGTACACTGAAATTGCTAACTCCATTGTTAGCCCCAGCATATAGGTTATGAAAAATGTGAAACAAAGAGAAGCCAAATTAAGAGGAAGAAAGATTAGCGTCCTCCTCATGTTCTCCTGAGGGGACACAGAGGAAGTTCCATAAGTACATTCTTGCATCCAGTTGTTGAAAGAAACGTGTGTTAGCTGCACAACCTCTGTCATGAACCATCAAGAAAATGCAAACCCTATACTATAAACCACCTTCAGTGCAAAATTAACTCTACCAACTGGCAGCAGTAATCAGAAACACAGTAAATTCATGTATCACACCACACAAGCAGCACAGAAGAAAAAAGGAAGCAACTGTGCACATTTACTTTTTGCACAGCAGTGCAAAAAGAAATGCCTAGCCAAGCCTATGTGATTTAAGCACGCTTATTCCAGAATCTCATCCTATGACAATCCCTGACCAACCTCAGCATCTAACCACAGAGACACTGACAGTACTGATCATTTTATTTTTACATAGCTATCAAGTAATTTCTATTGCTTTAAGGAGAAAGCAGTCTACTCTCCTTTGCTTCTTGGGTGCAGTATACCCATTATCAATATGAAGTCTGTTCTTCCATACTTTTCATCATAATCTTATGCTTTTCATATCATTGTTTGCTGTGGAAATCATTACAGATTAGTGAATTATAAATTTCAGATTGAGCTTTTTACTTAGGTTAGAATACGTCAAGTTTTCTAAAGTAGGCTTTGGTAATTTTTGCAAAATTTCCTCCCCTGTGAGTAATGAACAAAAGGGAATTTTTCACACTGCTTTTCCACCAATAGAACAATTCATAGCCTCCAAATGACTGTGGACAACAGGTCCGGAGAATCCCGTTTTCACCATTAGCTTACATTCACACTTCCCCTTTCTTGTAGCTAACGTCACAGGTCTCACTGCTTATCCAGTGCCTCCTAAGCTTAACTTTAATCTGATTGATAGCCATATTTCAGTGGGATTTAGGCTGTAAGCCCTTCAATGCACGCTTTGGGTCTTTAATTTACACATGGACACCCACCTACACAACAGAAATGCCTCAGACTGCTTGAACAGGGACAGGTAAGGGCATCTTCTCATCTGGGATATTCATGCTTCCGTGGCTGCTCTGGTTCCACCATCCACCCCAGTTCATTTTAGGCAGGCACCTCTCCAGTCTGCAGTATAAACACATCAACAGACTCAGTCCATTCTCAAAACTCAGCTGGATCCATCACAATGGAAATAAACTCACATGGTACAACATGCTTCTTCTAGTTTTATTGTTAGACCAGAACCAGCCTTCCTCTTAGCTTATGAAGCTGAACAAGAATATCCGCACTTAGGCAGAACTGTTGCGTCCAGTTGCAGGGAGACGAATGACCACCAAAACACTTGCTGGTCTCTGTTTCTTCTCCAAATATTGTTAGATGTGCAAAACTTACTCTTTAGACTGTTGTAATTCCTGTACTTATTGCAGGACACTGTACAACAAGGTTTTCCATCACAACTACATCAGCTGGCATTGGAAGGCAGAATAAATCACTGTCAGCCCAAACAAAGATAGCAAAATCTCTGGCATAGAAACAGATTCACTAACAGCTGAGTAGTTTTGCAAGCTTAGCTTATGTCATTTGTCATTTTTGGTACAATGCAAACACTCTGCACCTCTGCTAGGCAGCTCCTCCACCTTGACTATGTTAACACCGTGACATATGCTAGCGTACGTTACCATAGCTATTCCAGTGCTGGCAAGGTCAACAGGAACGTTCAGCATCTCCAACATTTCTTTTCATTTGTATCTTTTCCAGGGGGAACAGAAACCCTGCCTGGAAAAGGTGGATTCATTACAATATTTCTCTTTTCTTCTTTCAGGATGGGTCATCAGAGACAGACGGAGGTTAGCCTGGGCTCATAAAAAGATACAGAACATGCAGAGTGTGCTGCAAGAACTGTCTCATATTCACCCCTTGCCCTGTTCTAAGTTAATATGAAAACTATGCATGATTAATCTTTTAAAAATTGGAAAAGATGATGCCTAAGGCACCTCTAATCAACTTGCTTGGCGAAGTACATACAGTTCTGCTGTAGTTCTGCACAGCAAATAAGCTACATAGAATTTTAATACAGCAATTACCGCCTGCCACTTCAAGATAATGATTACTTACCAACCCATTTAAGATGCTTGTGTATGTGCATCAGCAAGAGGGATAAATTATGGGCTCCTTCAGCTGAGGAGGCAGCAGACGGGTTTTTACTAGACAGACTACCCCATAGCACTCCAGCAGGGTAAAAGAAGCCATCTAGGTGAGGCAAATTTACAGCAGAGGGTATTTGCTACTATGCCCCTCTGCAATGCTCCAGGGTCAAATACTGGCAGCATCATAAAAACAACAAACAGGACCACCCATCCAAGTTACAACCCCCAGCATTAAAATAAAGCCAGTAGAACACCAAATATCCCTGCACAGGCACATTTGGGAGCAGAAAAAAACACTGACAAATGAGGAAACAGCATTAGGAAAAATGACAAAGAGGGTTGTGAGTACACTCCTGTTCCAAGAGGAGCTTAAAAAAAAAAGAAAAAGAAAAAGAAAAGCATAATTTTCCACTCCCTTGCCCCTTGCTTGTCTCTCTGACCTGTTCCTGAGCTTCTCTGCTTTTCAGACACATCCATATAATCCTTCTGGGCCATAAAAGGCTCTCACAACAAAAGGTGGTGTAGTTCCTCTGCTTATCTAGCATTACACAGCCCAGCTTTAAACCAAGTGCAGCCAGATGGAGAGTCAGAGGTCACTGGTTATTTTTAAGCTCCATCTATCTAGGAAAAGCTTTTTTCATGGACGTTAACTATCAGCTAAGTAACTGTGTGTACTCTAGTGCATGTCAAGATAATATTGTGCTAGATCCAAGCTACAACAAGCTTCTCTCTAGCAACACAAGAGTAATACTATGTGCTATGATGATACAGCGATGGACAAAATTTTGCAGAATCTTGGTTAAGGCAGAAAAATGCAAGAAGCTGCCCCTGGAGAGCAAAAATATACATTATTGCCTATGTAAGTATGGCTGTGTGCAATTTGCTCATACTTGGGACTAGCAGACCCTGGAAACATAAAAAGAAACACATAAGAAATAAGCTATTACTGCCCCCACCCATTGAAGCAGTCAGCTTTCAAAAACAGCCCAGCTTTGTAATGGGTTTCACAACAGTGCGTAGAGTTATTCAGAAATACGAGAGGTGATGATGAGAAGCACTGTAACGCATCAGACAATTGTGGAATTTCTCACCACAGAGGACAGATGCTGAGATAAATTTCTTGTCATTAGTCTTCTCTGAATTTTGATTTTAGAGAAGGAACCCAATGTGTGCACAAAATTTTACCAAGATGATTGTTGGTATTGTATATAACATATTGCATATATATATAATATATATACATTTCACACTCCTTAAGTTTAGTGGGATAATAACCATCCTGTCAAAAGATAACATGGAAACGCTCACAGAAGAATTTTCACTAGAAATCTGAGCACGAGATTTCTTCTCCTCCTCTAGACAGCTCCAAGAGATCTGTAAAAGAGGAACAGATTCCGGTTTTTAAAGTTTGTTAGGAAAGTTTCACATTCAATGTACAAACGTAAATTCAGTAATAAATAAGTAGATAAATCGAAAGTTGTACTACAGATTAAATACTGAAAGGCAGCACCTTTTCAGGCAGAAGACCTCTGAGTTAAAAAATAATGGAATTTCAGAAACACTAATGTCTTTTGCTTTGTTTATCAGCAAAGCAGGAAACGGAGCAGAACAGAAAACGGGCTGATGCTCAGAAGTAGTAAGAATTATGAGGGAAAAATAATAAAGTCATGGTAATACTGAAGTACAGAGCAATACCATTCCAGCAAAAACTGGCTCTACCTAAAGGTCATCTGTGAACAGAAACCTCTCATGAATTAGTACAGTTGCAACGTCTCTGTACAAAATTCAAGAGAAACTGCGTGGTTACTGAGGCAGTGCCACAGTGAGCCCTCATCACACCAAAGAGGTCAGAAGAATAGTGTTCAATAACACATTTTAGAATACCCTTCCTGAGCATTTCCTGAGAAGACACATTTTACTATATTTCATAGCTTTACAAAGATGTGGAGCTCCACTCTCTGACATGTAATGGTGTGACCTCACACTCACGACCACACATTTCCCAGCTCTTAGCTTTGCACTTTCTGTGGTTCTAGTTCTTCCTAAAGTTCTGCCTTCACCAACCCATGGCTCTTGGAGTGTAGCACCATTACACCTGAAGTCAGCACCAAGCATCCCTGACTTCACAGGAGCTGTACGGGATCCAAGACAACAGTGCTACATGGGCAGCAAGGGGCACTCAGTTAGCAAACCTGTTCACTGCTTTGACCACACAACACAGCTTCCTGATTGTGTCACTTGCAGGATTTTATTTTAGAAGAGGACTTCTACTTCATTTTCCCCCTAAGACAGCACATGTGAGTCTGAATATCTAACAGAAGATGAGACAATTCTAGCATCGTATTGCTCACGTTTCTACAGAACAACCTTGCGGAACAGATCCTCCACTTAAAACTTGGCTCATCCTATGTTTAAAGTCTACTCCAACAACAACACATAAAACAGGCCAGCAGACAGCCTTTGCCACCAAGTCTACGGTTTAATGAATAGCTTCTGCATCATTCCTCTGCTGAAAACTCTATATAAGGGAATGTGGGAGGTGGACGTTTTGTAAACATACCATGATATGTGCCTGCATTTCTCACTCCCCTGACAGCTGCCTCATACTTAGGTCTTCTTTCTGGAAATTGCATATCATTGCATGTCAGGTCAGAAAGATTTCAGAGGAAGTATTTCTACCTGCTCTGACTTTGCTGTTAGCAGTTTGTCCATCATGGACTCGAGTACATTTAAAATCAAAATGAAGATGTTACTGAATCACTCACAACGGTGTTCATGTTTTTTTCCTTCAGTTTTAAGTGCACTTCACGTTCCTTAAGATTAATATTTTCTTTTTCATTGAAACATCTTCACTTATTCAGAGTATAGCACGAAGAAATCTTGGGCACGTTAAATTATCAGGGCCACAATCCCAGCTCTTGATCTTTGATTACTTACAATTGTCTCCCTAAATTTAGGGGTATGAAAAAGAGGAATAAAATAACACCAGAACAGAATACAAAGAGGATCAGCATGGGCTGCAATTGGAGATGGAACACGCAGCAGCTGTAAACCTGTGACAACTACATTAAAGAAATACACGGAAACACCCATTGAAAGGGAATCTTCAAGCACATACAAAGAGCAGAGCAAAATGCTAAGCTGTGCAGTGACTTTGGTGCTATGGCAGGCAATGCCACTGCTAGGACTTTTGCTGAATAGGAAACTGCTAACGCACAACCATTGCAGCAAGGACATGACAATAACATGTAGTTCTCATCCCATTTCTGATGAATAGCTTTTGACAATTAAACTTTTAATGCACTCTGAATTTTTCAGCAGTGATTTTTTTTTCTGTGTTTACACTGATATTGAGCAATGCTGGCAGCAGTGCTTCTACCTGTAGGACAACAGAGGACCACAAAGCCACTTGCATTCTGCTTTAATGTAGTGCTAAGACCAGTGTTAGATAGGTGACAGCAGAAGCAGCTTCATCAGAACCAAATGACTATGGCATGTGATTTCTTTTACAGTATATTTCACCATTTATACTGCATATTAGTAACCTTCAGCAAAGTGTGAGGTATCACTGAAAACTGTACGCTGGCCAAAATAGAGCTAGTCTCTAACTCCACTGATAAGCTTCTAAAATCACCATACAATCACAGAATCACTTTTACTGGAAGGGACCCGTAACAGTCATCTAGTCCTACTGCCCTGCAATGAACAGGGACACCTACAGATGATCAGGCTGCTCAGAGCCCCATCCAGCCTGACCTAGAATGTCTCCAGGGATGGGACTTCCACCACACCTCTGGCTGACCCATTCCAGTGCCTCACCATCCTTAAAGTAAAAAACTTCTTCCTTAAATCCAGTCTACATCTCTCCTCTTTTAGTTTGAAACCATTTTCATTTGTACTTTTACAGTGAACCCCGCTAAAGAGTGTCCCCTTCTTCCTTACAGCCCCTTTTAGATACTGAAAGGTCATTATCAGGTCTTCCTGGAGCCTTCTCTTCTTCAGGCTGAACAGCTCCAGCTCTCTCAGTCCATCCTTGTGGGGAAGGTGTTCCATCTGTTGGATCTTGTTAAAGTTATATTATTATTCCAATAACATAACAGGAGGGTGGGTATTAAGTCATTATTCAAGTTTGCAGTTGCACCTCTGTCGTAACGTTTCTTTTTCAGCAGTGACACAAGGGCAAAATGGTGCCACTCAAATTCAATAGGAAAAGATGGAAAAAATCCAAATATTCCCAAATGCACAAAAACAGAGGAGTTTGTACAAGTCTAAGTTTCAGTAACAGGCGTATAATAGAAGACAAAACTAAATGTAGCTTTACGCCAGTAAAATATACTGCATAAACACAACAAAATCCCTGTGGAGAACAAGAGAAATAGGCTGTTCCTAAAACAAAGGTCTCTCACTGGTCTAAATGAATGTGCTAGTCTCATACCTGCAGAAAAAAAAAAACCCACAACTTCTATGTATATTCACTGGAGGGTTGACTTAACAAATGAATCCCCTAGAGTTTTCACAATGCCCAGAGATGGTAATTTGGGCTCAGCAAGACTCCTCTTCTTGCAGCAGAAAGGAAAGCCTACTGAAGATGAACAAGTAGGTAGGCCTTCTTTCATTTTGCAAGGTCACAAGCATGCTGATTACAGCACGGGAGCAATTTTTGAAGAAATATTGCTTGCACACCTGAGGGATGTGGTGAGTAGTGAGCTGACCTTCCAAGCATTTCCCCAACCTCTGCAGAGTTTCCAATAGTATCTCTTTGCTGTTACAGAGGCAGGTTTTCTTAATGTAAAGATAAAAGAAAGGATGGTACCTTACTGAGAGAGAAAACTGAAGCTGTCCACCATGTAAATGAATGACCTCAGTCCACCACGTTTTAGCAGCATTTCCCAATCCCAAAGCCGCTTCCTAACATGATTCCAAAAGGCATGCCACGGGCACTACACAAACTAGCTGGTTTTTCAAAGACAGTTACGATCAATACAGACCTCGTAGCAGCTTTACAAAATCAGTTGTGCCAGCGCCAGCACCCCAATTTAATTTCTGCTCAGGTAATTGCAACACAATGAGCAGCCTCTTGCGAGCCCCAGCCACCCACCTTTCTGGTTCTCCATTTCATCTACAAAACCACTCAACACAGTCGAGCACTCTTCAGAGACTATTGCATTTCAGCGGTGGGCAAAGGTAACTTTGTGAAGCTCAGCCTTACCATACGCTGTGGAGGTCTCAGCAAGTTGAAGTTAGCACACAAATATGATATTTTCTTTCTGAAGGCATTGTAAACACTTGAAGAGATTATTTTAACTTCAGACAGTCCTGGGGAGAACTTTTCTCTTTTGAAATTCAAAACTTTCCAATAAGAAAAGCTAATTCCCAACAAGATAATTACCATCAATTTTTACTATACACTTTTCACAATATTGCATATCTTATTTTACAGATAGCCTTTTTTCAGGCTTCAGACAGGAGAGGTCATGAGCTCCTAGAACATCCCAGTTACAGTGGGCTCCACAGATTGTTTGTGCCTAAGCATGAAAGGTCCATGAAGTGAAAAGGTTCGATTGTTGCATCTAAATCCAGACTCAGCTGTTATTCTGCAGCTGTTCACTTCAAACCTCTGTTTTCTTTACTGTATATTTGTTTTAGCCTACAAAGGAGGCAAGAGTCCTTTCTTCTAGAGTTATTCTCTAGAAGTAAATCCATGGTAACCTGTGTGGACATAGCTCTGATGCAAAATCAGAGTTAAGTACAACATCGGGATTCATTGTCCTGGGGGTAACGTTTACGACAGCAGTTAAATATGACACATTTTAATTAAAATGCAAAATGCTAGGATGGATATTTTTTTTCTTTTTATAGTTTTGTGGCCAGGCTGCTCTGTAGTAATTTAGGAGTCATCTTATTATTATGATCTTCATCATAATTATTTTTCTTTGTTTAATGTTCAAACAAAGTTTCATTTCCATCTTCCACTTCATTTTACAGATTTTGATCTTACCAGCAGCCTGGAGAGCTTTGCTTAATTCTTCTACATGTTAGGACCAAAGAAGAGAACTAATTAAAAGGAAAATCTGCTAAGTACAAAGAAGGTTCTAAAGAGAAAAAAAATATATAAAAGAGAAGTACAACAACAATTGCCAATAAATGAATACCTAATCAACAAGCAGAATTGTTGAGGTATTACTCCAAGCAGTTATTCTCCTAAGGAATTTTGCTCTTCTTCACTAAGCCTGGAAACAAATTTCTAACCATATTTTCACGAGGTTATAATGCATCCAGTTTTCCTACCACAATGTGCATTACAGAAGTCCCAACTGTTAGAACTTGTCTGAAATGAGGAATTACTAAAGTCACAGATAACACTTCTTCCCTCA